TTCGTAATTAGATGTAAAAACAATTATTCTTTTAGCTAAATTATAAGGAATATTCTTTTTGATGTGTAATGGGTGATGGCTGTTATAGTTTAAGTAGTCACGAGTGTTCGTGAAACAAAATAAAATTACTGGAAAAAGCTTAGTCTCTTCTAGAAACCCAATAGTAAGACAAGCATAATCTGGCGCGAAATCTGTACCCATGGCTGTACCAGTTGTTTGGTGAAATAATTGTTTATCAAATATAAAATTATTATTATTTAAAATAAAAGATGCTGACTCAATTATGGTGTAAATTCAGGTGTAAATCTTTTATCTATCAATTCTTTATATTTAAATATCCAGAACTTTAGGGCTTCTAAACCAAGATAATGTGGGATGCTTGTGTAAAGATTGACAATGTCGCATGTCATTATACAACTTTCTGATTCAAACTCTCTTGAAATTTTTCTGAGGAAATCTCAGTCATCTTTAATGAAAGATTTTTGTTTCTTTACAATTGGTGATAAAATTATATGTAAAAACTGGCTCAAACAAGGTGTTGGCTAATTTATTCCGGCAATAATTGGTCTACCTGTAAGATCTTTTGGTGGTTTCATTTCAATGAATAAAGAGTTGGACTCTTTTACCTTTTTAATGATTTCTTGGCATTAGTGAATTTTAGGAATTACATAGAAATTACTAGATTTCCATTTAAAGTTTGTGATATATTTTATTTCATTTGTCGTGAGGTATTTATGTTTGTTTATCAATTTAATAAGATTGCTAAAAACTATTTTATCGGATTCAGTACTTATTTTTTTATATGTATTAACAGAAAAAAGATGGTGATGATTCTTGATAGACAAGTTTGTTAGTATAAAATGTCAAATCCATAACAACTAAAGTATTACCTTTGTCTTTGTAATTCTTTAATCGCTGCTCTTTCTTCTTTTGTAATGTTATCAATATATTGGACTTTAAAAGGTTTAGTTTGTTCAATTTGTGAAATAATTTCGTTTAATTCTGGCAGAGTGGTTTTGGTACAATAATTAGATTTATTTTTAATTATACTAATATCGCTATTTGTAGCACCATAAAATTTTTCTTTTAGTATAAGTTTCCTAGTAAAATTTTTAATATCTGAATCGATATGTAAGAAATTACCATTTGCGGTAATAAACGATATTAAAAATCATATTTCAAGTTTATATGAGTGCACACAAATGTGGAGATTAAATTGAATGCTTACAGAATGAGAATTGAGATTCTGTAAAGGATAATTAAGACTTTTGAACCTGTAAGCATTCAATTTAGCTTTGATATGGATGTTTTTTGGCATGAAAATTAAAAAAAAATCAGACAGAACCATTGAAGATAATCAATACATTCAGGTCAAAAATGGTGACACAAATTGAAATTGAAGTGACACATACCTCCTGAAGGTATGTGTCACTTCAAGAATTTATTTGGCATAACTATGTACAAAAACATCATTATGAGTGTTACAAAAATGACATTGAATGCGCCTCTGAAAATGATTTAAATGCTGTTTACCATGTTGACTTTTCAAAGAATTTCCACTGTCTTGAGCAGGATTAATCGCAGGCAGCTCATTTCAGCCAAGCTTAACTGACAATTTTTAAACTAACAATTCAGCACAATGTAATTTGTAAAACTATTGCTTTTTAATAGATGTTAACAAACATGACAAATTTCTTGCCGCTTTGTTTTCAGAAGAGATCGTTAAAACTTTCTGCAAAAAGTAACTGAACAAACAATAACTAGCTTCCACTCTGACAAGGCTTGCAGTCAATTCAAAAGCAAGTTTTTTATGCATTTCACCACACAAGTGAAAGTCAAATTTTCGAAAAACTGTATTGAATGAAACTTCTTAAAAGAATAATATTGAAAAAGAGCAGTTGATGGTATTGGACCCATGTTGAAAAGCAAAGTAAGAAAGTTAATCAATTTCAAGATGCAATTTAATCAATTTTCAAGACTTACATTGAGACCTAAAAAAAAATAGTTTAAAGGAATTTTTTTTGAAGAATGCAAAAATATCAAAAACATTTCTAAACAGTACAACTTTATGATAATTTGCCTGCATTATAAAGAAGCAAATTGGAAAAAAATCTAGAAGAGTAATTTTAAAACAAAATAAACAACCCCCCCCCCCATCTTTTATTTCTTTTTTTTTCTTTTTTAATGCAACTATTTGTGTAATTTGAGAAAAAATTCTTTGAACTAATAAAATTTACTTGAGCTTTTACTTTAATGTTTTTTTCATATTAAAACTCATCAAATACATGACGTCAAATACACGACACAACTTTCTTTAAGTTTTAATTTTATATTTTGCAATTTAAGATAATAGATACAGTTTAAAAGTAAAATATTCAAATATATAATATAACAATTTGATTATAATTAGTTTTAATAAAAAATAAATTGTGAATTTGGAGCAATTAGATCTTAAATATGTAGCATAAAAAAACTGGGTATTTTCAGCAAATACTACCGACAATCTTAAATGGGCCAAAAATATTATTTTATTTGGTGAAAGTTGTTGAAATATATATATTTTTTTGTAATTCACCTCCCCAAGGCCGAGAAGGCCACTACAGATGAGGAGGCTACTTGTGGTTATAACCCTCTCTCAACTCTATAACTCCAAAACACGAACCTTGACAAACAAGGCCACAGTGCGGAGAAACAAGTTAAGCGCGGTACTACTAGGGACGTGGTGGGAATCGAGCTTGGAACCTCTCGCTTGTGAAGCGAGTGCTCTAAATATGCTCTAAACGTCAAATAAGTGACGCTCAGAACTCCATATTTATACATATATATTCACACACACCTAATTAAAATAAAGCAAAAATAGAAAACAATTGTACCCTCATTTGGTTCTTTTAAATAAGCAATAATTTGACATAGAGAATGAAGTTGGACATCAGATGGATAACCCATAAAAAAGTCTTTGCAGAAATCTAGAGTGATTGAAGCTGGTTGTATTTCCTAAAATAAAAAACTATTAGTATATATTAGTAAAAAAATACTTTCTTAAATTAAAGAAAGTTAAATGTTTTAAATAATAAATGTTTTAAACAAATAATAATAATAATATTAATTATTATTCCCTTTTAAAGACCCGCCTGGAAGAGCAAAGAACCATCATTTCTTTTTTCAAAGAAAAGAACTGATGCTTGATTGCCTACTGAGCAAATCTTTGGGTGGGTTAATTCAACTCATTATATTTCAAAAGAGCCAACAAAATTAGATTGCAATTTATGCTTTCTTTAGATATTAGATTAGATTGGACTAAAATAATGTCAAGTTAAATTAGTATTAACTACAAAGTTAACTAATGTTAAACTAACAAATATAATAAAACAAGAACACAAATTTAAAATCAAAAGTACAAAAAACTAAAAACCAAATTAGCATTAAACATAATATAATTTATTTGTAATGTTAAAAAGCCAATCTAATTGATACAATTTGTAGCTCATGTACTGTTGTTGTCAATTTAATTTCAATTTTACAGAAAATTACTTTAAAGCATTTATGGTAAAAAATTATATATATATATATATATATATATATATACACATATATATACATATACATATAGATATACATATATATACATATAGATATATATATACACACACACACACACACACACACATATATATATATATATATATATATATATATATATATATATATATATATATATATATATATATATATATATATATATATATATATATATATATATATATATATAAGCGTACCTTGAAATTGTCATCTACAACAACTTCTTGAGCAATTTGAATTGTTTTTTTGATTAACAAAACCATAGCTGTATGGAGTGTGCGGTCCTCATTTAAAACTTTAATTAGGTGCGATAAGATATGCTGTCTACGATGTTCAGGACAATGAGGTGCAGAATCAATAAATGTTTCCAAAATAAACAATATAATTACATCAATATTTGTAGGAGAAGGACGTTTTCTTGACTCAGTTACTTCTGGAGATTTCTAAAGTTTTAAACTTTTTGTAATAATTAAAATTCAAAAAAATACAAAAAAGCAATAACTTAAGACCAATAACAAATTAATATATAAAAAAAAGCACATAAAAATCAGCTAGATTCCATGCCCTAGATCATTTTTTTAAGATTCTATACACTAGAATAAAAACATTTTATAACTAAAAAATAATTTTATAATTAAAAAGTAAAATCATTATTTAAAAAAAAAAAAAAAAAGATAAATAAAAAAAACTTTTATCTTTTTTTTTAAGTGATTATATTCTTTTAATTTCTATATACTTTTATTATACATTTTTTATTTATTAGTTTATGGTTAATAAATTTCTAACTTGATTTTCTTTTTAATTTATTTATATAAATATTATTAATTTATTCTACCTTTAATAAATTTCACAAAACTAAAGTCTTTATAATTATAATTACCTGAACTAGCATAGGTACAATGGCATCAATTGTATTTTCTATTAATCTAAATGTCTGTTGATTGTCTATTTTCAGCATTGTACCTCCCATAAATGTAAATATATGCATTATATTATGAAGGACTTGCGAAGGATAATGCTGTGCAGATTTTCCAAGTAATACTAAACAGTGACGAGTTGTTTGAAAATCTTTACTTTCTTGTAAGCATTGTATAACAAGATCGATTTTGAATAGATCTGGGGATATGTTTAGAACACCTTGATTGAGAATGTATGTAAATATAGTAAGAAGAAGCTGTTTCACATACTCTACAGATGCATTCTTAATGACCAAGCACCTAAAAAAATTATTAACTAAAATAAAAACAGTTCATTATAAAATAAAGGTAATTAAGTTGAATGCTTTGTGTTAATTAGAAAAAAATATTATTCACTATTTTAAGTAAACAATAGCTTTGTAATAAAAAAATACTAACTTGTTAAAAATATTAAATAATGGTGTGATTAAAACTTCAGGTTGGTCAATTTTATTTTTACATGAGATTGATTCCAATAATTCAACAAGTTGTCTCCAAAACCAAGATTTTGTTAATGCATCAGTTGACTCTTCTGTCATATTTTGCCTGAAAGTATTTTTAATACCATTTTTTTATTGTATTTTATAACAAAATTATGCTTATCTTAAAAATCATAATATTTATATAACTCATTAGAGTTACCCCAGAACATTTAGAATTACCCCAAAATATTTAGAATTACCCCAGAATATTTAAAGTTAACCCAAATATTTAGAGTTACCCAAGATTATTTTGAAGATTTAGAGTTATGTACATGTGTATTCATAAAATTTTTTTACTATTTTATTCAATACCGGGAACTAAAACCTTTGACGTCTTTTTGTTTTGTTTTGTTTTTGTAATGTCAGAACTCATTGCACCATAATTTTAAATTGTAATTTTTAAACGGTTTTTAAGTGACGAAATACACATGGACTGATGATTGCCAAAAGGCATGAAACTCAGAGTTCCATCAAAAGTTGTTTTTATTCATTAAATATAAATATATATATATATATATATATATGTATATATATATATATATATATATATATATATATATATATATATATATATATATATATATATATATATATATACACACACACAGCGAATTTACCGCAAGCATATGTTACTTTAGTTTCGTTAAGAAATTATATTATTTAAGATTTTAAGAAACATTTAAGTTGCAAATACTGTTTTGAGCTACTTGTTATGTGCTATTTGTAAATATTTATTGAAAATTGCCTAACTATATCCAGCAACTAAATTCTAGTAACTATAATTTTAGATTTTATTATTGTTGATTTTTAGCCTTTATTATTAATGTTATTAAATACTTTAAACTTTATTTTTAAATAATATTTTTATTTACTAAGGACAAAGTAGTTTAACATAATCATTAATAGAAAATTGAAAATTTATTACAAATAAGGTTAAATCAATGGTCAAGATACCTTAAATAGTAATTATGCTTACACCTTATACTCGAATAGTTATTGGGTATATATAATAAATTATTAAGACAATAACTATTTGATAACAAAACACATGCATTTAATAAATATATTTTGGTTTCATTTAACTATTTTTGAAAGTTAATAACTTTCAAAATGCTTTATAGTGTCTCTTAAATTAAAGAGTTAATTACTGTAAAATCAATGATTAAAAAAGTATATTAAATTTTTTTGATTAAAAAAAGATATACATTTAAATCATTAAATATAATTTAAAAATTGGATTTAATAAACAAATTTACTATGGAATTGTTTTTAAAATTAAAGACATTGAAGTTTAAAATTAAATCAATCCTAATAAAACATTTATTAAGTTATTGTATTATTATTACCAAATAAAAGAGTCACTTCCTAAATTGCTTAAATCTCATGTTGTCTATAAATTTTCTTGCGCTGGCTGTAATGCCAGTTATATTGGAGAAACCTCCAGTCATTTGGCAACTAGAATAATTGAGCACCTTAAAAAAGAAAAAAAAAATCTCATATATTTAATTTCTCATATAACATTTAAATTTATCTGTTAATTACAAATACCTGGCTATCTGTGATTCTTTTGAGATTTTGGATAATACCCCAACCAAACACAAAGTAAAGATAAAAGAAGCCCTCCACATTAAATGGGAAAGTCCCTCACTTAATAAACAAACTTCACAATATGCTATAAACTTATCTATTTAATTTTAATGTCAGTTTATCATTATTATCAATTTTTTTTTGACAGTTAGTTATTTTGATTTACCGAGTTATTTTCTAATAAATATATTGGTTCATTATGTAAATTTTTGTCCGTTATTATTTCTCTGTAAAGATTTCTATTTTTTAATATTTATTTCAGAGTTTTATTATTGTAAAATAATCTTTTGAAAATGTAAATAAAATTTTACAAAACAATGTCAAGAATAAAAAACATCGTGTTATTTATAAAAATAATTACTTATTTTATGATATTACGACGATCACAATATATATATATATATATATATATACATATATATATATATATATATATATATATATATATATATATATATATATATATATATATATATATATATATTTTGTAACGGTTTGTTTACGTTTTTTGTTTGTATTAACGGCTGATGATTGCCTTCGGGCATGAAACTTTAAGTCCCGCTAATCAGTTGTTTTTATTCATCTAAATATAATTATATATAGCTCTATTATTCAGTAATATTGAGCACTGTAACACGTACAAGAGACTTCGTATTATTACATCAAAATACTTAACCTCGAATATATACTATATATCGAAATCTATACAAATATATATATATGTATATATATATATATATATATATATATATATATATATATATATATACATATATATATATATATATATATATATATATATATATATATACACATATATATATATATATATATATATATATATATATATATATATATATATATATATATATATATATATATATATATATATATATATATATATATATATATATATATATATATATATATATATAAAAGAAACAAATCTCTCTGAAAATGTTTTCCACTCGCTTTTTTGCTAACCTAATGTAAAATAAATTAGCAACTCTTTTGTAACACTTAAAGATCATAAACCAAAATTTTTAAAACAAACTTTCTTGTAGGTTATTGTTTCACTAAAAGAAGTAAGATTGAACACGTGAGCAAAATTAAATTATACAAATTTAATAATATTCTTAAAAATAAATTAAATTTACAACAGTGGAAAAATACCACTGATATTATAAAATGGTTCTCCATAATCAAAAGTAAAAGTGACTGTTAATTTATTCAATTTGATATTAGTGATTTTTACCCCTCAATAACTGCAGATATTTTAGGTAAAACAATTGAATTTGCAAAAATCACAGTTATTCCAAAAGACACAATTTTTATATAAAACATTGCAGAAAAACTATACCTTTTTTAACAAGGAAACTTGGGAAAAAAAACATACATGACTGCTTTGATGTAATAATGGGCAGTTTTTATGGAGCAGAAATTTGTGAATTTGTAGAAATTAAAAATTTGTAAAAGCAAAACTTTTGAAAAACGGCGTTAATGCATATATACGCAAATATTTGTTTGAAGAAGTGTGGAACTTACAATAAAAACCATAAGCAGTAAAACCATATTCTAGAACATTCACAATATATTAGCACTTAGCTGTTCTAATATACTGCGGCTTATTACAAAACAAAGGGATGTTTGATTATGGTTTTACCATAATCAAATTATCATAATGTATTAAAATATTACTTTGAGAATGCTTTGAGAATTATCATAATGTATCAAAATGTTACTTTTAAATTGTATTAAAGCCTATTTAGTTTATTATGGATTTAATTATACTTTTTGTATAATTTATGAATGTTTCTGATTCTTTCTTAATTTTATATAATACTTGCATTTTTTAAAAATTAACCTGACGCTGAAGCCATTGCACACCAAAGTTAGATGACGGTTAAGGGGTTAAGTAAAATAATCAATATTAATGATTTAGGCCTTTAGGTTATAATGATGGCTTAATAGTAATGCACCAAAAATCTGGTCCACAGCTTAATAAAATTAGACAGGATATAAAAATTTCCAAAAACATTGGGCTTTCAAATCGAATTAAAGGGATCCCAAACTCCCAACATAATGTTAGAAAAAAAGGTTTGAACCAAGTTTTTTTGATTAAAAATAAATAATGAATGCATACCGCAAAAAACTTACGTTGTTTTAGCCGAAGCTCGCCTTTTCCATTTTTTTCAAAAACTCTGAGTCTTTAAATTATACATCGCAATCTACAGGCTTTAGCAATTCCTTTTGAAGCACGTTTAATTCTTAAAAGTTTTAGTATTTGACGTCACGGTAGACTTTTAACAAATGAAACTCTGGAAATATTTTTATTTATTTTTATTTGAACTTTTTTTATTTTTTAAGTTTTTTTTTTTTCTATTTTTAACATTTAAAAAGATATTAAAAACCACAAATATTGCTGGTTCGTTGCGATAAATTGTTATTGCGCCATATATTTAATGTTTATAAATTATGAATATTTATTATCTCAATCAAAACTCTGATAAAAATTTTTTTTACATTAAAAACCCTTATAAAATTAATAACAGCATTTTTATTTGGTTAGACAATATTTCGTCTCAATTTGCTTTGCATGAAGTTCGGGAAATCAAGCGAAAAAAATTAGTTTGAATAATCACTTTGAAATATATTTAAAACAAGTTATTTTAATGACGGGGGTTTGAAAGTTTTTTATAACAAATGTAGGTAAAAAATAAATAATTAAATAAAAAGTTCAAAATTAAACATCATTTCTTTATTATATTGCTACTGTAAATATTGAAATATTAACTTGAACTAAATTTACTTATTATTTAGAACAACTAAGCAATAAAAATAAAAAGCTCCTAAAATTATGCGATATTGTGTTGCTTATTTAATAAATGTTGTTGGTAATGTTGTTTATGTTGATTATTTTCATTAATATCAAAATAGTCCCAGATTAATCTGTTAGCTGCTTTGTTCATTGTTGCTTTATTTCTAACTTAATTTTATCTCAAAGTATAAATTTATGTTAAGAAAGAAAAGTTTTTATTTCATTGCTCGCTCTTTTTATAAAAGAGTAGAACAATGGTAATGTTGTTTATGTTGATTATTTTCATTAATATCAAAACAGTCCCAGATTAATCTGTTAGTTGCTTTGTTCATTGTTACTTTATTTCTAATTTAATTTTATCTCAAAGTATAAATTTATGTTAAGAAAGAAAAGTTTTTATTTAATCGCTTGCTCTTTTTATAAAAGAGTAGAACAAAAGAGAAAGAAAAGTTTCGCGTAATTAAACTTCGAATGAATAAGAGTTGTATAAAATATTTTTTTTTTTTGTGTCACTAGTTCTTTTTTTAGATAAGAGAAATAAAATTTTGATAGTAACTTTTCTTTGAATAAATGAAAATTGGAAGAGAAAATTGCTTGAAAATTTGTATTTGTAGTGTTTTAAAATTTTTTTAATTTTTCAAGTTAAGAGACAAATGCCA